GAGTATAATCACTCTGACTTATTATATTACAAGAGTAATGTAATACTTCCATTGTAATATAACAAAAGTTGAACTCTTATAAAACACTTACAAGAGTAATAGAGAACTGTTATAAACTTTTTTAGTAATTGGCTACTGTTGTATATAAATTTATATACAATTTTAACATATTACAATAAAAGTTAAGTACTTATGTCTCACATATAATATTGTAGTAATACTGGTAGTAACATTACTTGCTTCAAAAAACAATTGTAGTATAATACAACTTTTGTATAAGTATTACATTTATATACATTTGTTACATTTCAATTACAAGCAAAGTATAATTGTAATTTTGAATTGTAATTAATATATAAGTACATTATTATATTATATTTGCTATTATTAATTACATTTGTTGCGACTTTTTCGTGATGCAAATAGGCGTGGTCAAACCTCGCGATTCTCTGTGCGATTCACCTTGCGATTCTAGAGGGTGAATCGCAAGGTGAATCGCGCGTGCAGGTTTGACCAGCACACTTGTACATGTGCGATTCACCTCAATATACCGACCCTTGATCTTAAAATTACATAATATAAAATTAAAGAAATAGTTTTTTTTTGTGCATATACATTTGGCCATGTCAAGAAGGACTTGATATGTGTGTAGTGATGTGCAAGAAGACAACAGAGCTTGGTAGCAGAGAACACAAGGATTTTTTACAGAACAGAGGACAGTATGTATGCTGTAGTGCTCACAAGGAAGAGGCAAATCATCTTATTGTTTTTGGAATTTAGAGGTGAAAAGAAGCTTAGTTTTATTTTTGTAATACATGTACATATTTGGAAATAGATATGAGTAGAGGTGAATCGCAGGGGTGAATCGCAAGGTGAATCGCGTCAAAGTGCGATTCACCTTTCAGCGCGATTCACCCCGAATCGCTGGGGTTCCGGGGTCCGCGATTCACTTTGCATGAAAGTGAATCGCACAGGTGAATCGCGCACTGAATCGCGAGGTTTGACCACGCCTAATACCGCAAAGATGAAGATCCGGTTGAAACTGATACTTCGAAGGTTTATTCAATCCCGGAATCGGATCCGCAACCATCTTGAGCACTTACGTTGTCAATGTAAGCAAGCACATCGCGCCGACTTTCCGTCGAGGTGTGCTCGAGCTTGAGTTCGCATATATGTGGCCGTGATGAGAGTGACCTGAGAATGTCGTTTTCAGGTCGACTTGTAATGAAGTACTGGACCTCCAATGGCAGATTTGCGAAGTTGACTTTGAGCAACTCCAGGATCTCCCGCCGTTGCTCCGCAGTGCCGCACTCGTCTAGTGCATCGATAATGATGATTATTGGACCTTTGGCGCCTTTAGCAGAACTAAGTGGATTCAAAAGAAGCTTTTCGAACTGTCGAGCAGGCGAAGAACTCTTGAGCTGCTTGGCAGCGGGTATTATATACGATGCAAGGGATGGCTCGAACGCTGCCAGCTGATAAGCAATGGTCCGTATAATAGACCGATGCCCCTCCTTCCTCGTTCGGAGGAAAGAAACGCCGCAAGGCAGAATTCATCATCACAATGGTCCGTGATGGAAGCAGCGATGGTGCTCTTTCCAGATCCAGCGATCCCGTTGAACCAGAGAATATTCTCCTCACACCGTCTAGAGAATAATAGGCGGTTGCAGCGGCAGCAAGCATGATAATGGGAAGAACGAGAATTCACCCCACTAGATTGTTGTCGTTGACATCGATCCCGCAGGTTGCCGTTTATTCGGTGTTGTGAGGGTATTATCTAGACCTCAAGAAGAGATCCTCAAGTAGACCACTCATGGTCGTATTTCCGTCTCATGTCAGAAAGTATCATGAAGCAAGTAAAGGATCAAAGGATTAGAACAAAGAAATTTAACGTCCAGCGACCGAATACTTTCCACAGTCCGCAACTCTATAACGTGGCTGCGCAAATTTAGGACGTAATGACACCAGAAGGAGAGGCGATGCTTTGTGCGATAAATTGGCGTGCAAATAATAGCACCGGGAAAATACTCCTTGGCCTCCTACAATGACCATCGAACTCGTAAAAAAAACATCTATTCATCCAGGAATCCGGAGAGCGAGCTATTCTCAAGTTAAACGAACGTAACCACGGTCTTCAAGTGATGCAGCTCATTTACGATCCATTTGTTGCTGCACTACCTCGCGAGCTCCGTCAAGCTCCCAATCATCCCAGCACAACGACAACATCCAGGAATGTCTCCCAACGCCCGCACGAACGGCCGCACGCTCAGGAGATACGTGCAATCCGATCTTTCCTTCTCTCAATGGTCTATCCCAGCGCATCAAACCCTCCTTTCGGAATCCCATGCGCTCCGCAGAACGAACAGACTGTGCGTTCTCTCCATGTGCCTGCCATTGTACGCGGCGCAATCCGAGACCCGGCCCGTACTTGAGTTCGCCTTTGGCGTGTTCAAAAGGAAGTTCGAGGCAATAGTGTAGAAGGAGGCCGATCGCGTTGGATGTTACGTGCGTTTTCTGGAATTCGGGGAAGACGACAACAAATCCGATCTCTGTGCTCTGATTCACTACTTTGGTGTTCAAGAGGCCGATAGTCCCCGCGAGATGTGGAGTACCGTCTGGCGACGAGCTTTGTTGATTTCTTGTTCTTCGACATCTAAAACGAAATACTGACTAGTTTTATCCAAGATAGCGAATAGGACTGAATTTGGATCTTTCTGAATCCTTTCCTTGATATATCTGTCGAAAAAGTCCTCTTTTGAATCGAATGGACCGGACGGGTAGTATTTGTACAATTCTGGAGCTTCTTTGCTTTTCTGAAAGTATTCCTCTCCGTGCAAGAGAGGCTATGGACCATGCAGTCCATCAAAGTGAAGCGGCATGAAATTCACATAGTTAATAGTTAATAACTAACACTGATTGAAACAAAGAGATACGCACGTCGAATGGTGTCAACTTGAGACGAGCACTCTCGAGATTGCGAATTGGAAACACAAAATTCAGGTTGAGCATAGGTGTTCCTTCCTGTTGGACTTGCGCCATTATGATGAAAGTAGGTTCCAGCTATGAGTCGTTTGACAATCGCGTCATTTCAATGCATTTTCAGAATGACTCATTTTAAAGGGACGCCGGCGTTATTCTGATCGCGATGCTTTGTCAATTTCGACAGCAGACCGGCCGCCATCTCGAATATCTCTGCATTGAAGCATCGAGCTTGTAGGCTTCCAGTTAGACATTTGAGGGAGGTACAGAGATTGTTCGTTATTCAATGCAACTCACATAGTAACGTGCGCGAAACATACGGTTTATACGCACAAGTGTACGCTCTCCAATATTAATAGCCTAACCCGAGGATACTTGGAGATTGACAAAATTTTGCCAGGCCTGACATCTGTTCAAGTGTTTTCAAACACGGGAGCTCAGTGCTACCAACCTTCCGTCGATCAAATGGCCCTCTGTGCAACCAAGTACAGTAAAGCCGAAGATCCGATTGAAACCGATACCGCGAAGGTTTCTTCAACTCGAATGACCTTCCATCTCTACAATCGACATCTGTTCTATTCTCCACATACTTTATATGTGGGCATCTCCGCTCGCACTAACGAAATATGCTTTTGGACACCACGCGTGCGCATATGTTCCGACAAACGAGGTGACACGTCACCATTGGCTATCCATGGGTCTCCAAGATGGACCAGCTTTGCATTTATTTTCGTTCTTCGTATTTCATGTATTTTGGAGATCTTGTTGAGTGAATGTAGTTGTAGAAGCCGGTGGCGGTAATAGACAATCGAACGAATACAAGCGTGAGTCAACCAGAATTTGGCAGAAGTTTGATTACCTGCTCCACTGAATATCGGATCATCCGAACCGAGCATTGAAGGTAACATCAGGCAAATAGCTGTGTCATCGGATCAATTTAAGCTTTTTAAGACTTTGGATCCCGCTTAGCTCAGTGGTAGAGCGCATCACTAGTACCAGTACGTGTATGTGCAAATTATGATGAGGTCAGTCGTTCAAGTCGGCTAGTGGGAAATCTCCTTGATTGCGGATTTTTTTTGACAAAACGAGCCGTTATTGGTGAAAGCGACGTTCTTTGTGATCAAGTAGCTATTACACTACATTCATGCTTTTAAATTCGGATTGTTGAACTTCGATTTCATTTGCAAGTGGAACAGAGAAAATCAGATATTCATTTTGCTCTTATAATTTCGGTAGCCAATACGACAAAGACAAATTGACTCGAGTTTCGGTAACCAAATACAATCCTTTTATTTACAAGAAGTCGTTATAAGATAACACTGCTTTTAATCAGCATAGAGAAAGTTTTCGTTGATAGAGAACATCAGGGTGCGAGCGCAGAACAATAACTACGAAGGTATACACTCAGTTGAAAAGTAAGAACTGAAATGATGTGAAATCGGAATGCGCGAATAGTGATCACAGATATAAACACACAGAGCAGTAAGGCTATTAGGATGGTATGCATAGTCCGGAAAGATGCAGTAGTGAAAAAATTGTGGAATCTACTGGGTCGACATTGGAATGGTTTATGGAAGGTAGTTATATGGTGGTCTATTGAAATCTGGTGGTACAGCAGAGGATGGTGTGCTGAAAGATGATGCTGCATAGTGATTGATCTGAGGGTATACCTGGGAATTGTAGGGACCGTGAGATGGTCGATAGAATGTATTAGCATGCTGGTAGGAGGAACTACTGTTTAGGTCTCCGAGTGCATTGGCGGGAAAGCGTTGCTGGTCACTTCTATGCGCTCTCTGTGGTTCATTTTCTGAACTTGACGAACTAGAGTTATGCTGTCTGGAGGACATGGCAACGGTGTTACTTCTTGGACTCCTGCGCCTTCCATCACAAACTTGCCCATGAACGTTAAGTGCGAGGAATTGTATCCTGCGACCACACGCTTGGCATCGCACCAATTCTTCGACCTGCTGAGTAGACCTCCCTGTCTGTGGAGGGGTGTATAGAAATGGTACAGGGTCCATCTGTGCAAGTGGTTGTTGTGAACCCCGCCGTTCAAGACTGCCTGGAGGGGAGAAATGGAATATGTCTGACGAGTTCGATCCCTGCGATACATGCCCGCTATTGCCAGAGCTGGAATTTGAGCCCGATGAATCGCTTGCTGAGCCAAGTGGTGTAAAACGGGAATGAGACACAGCTACTCGTTCATCACGCTGATGACGCTGATTGGCCGATCGATGTGCAAGGCTCGACCTTCGTTGACTGGTCCGGCCTCTATCTTGGTAAAGGATGTTTTGCTGCATGGTGGAGAAAGACGGGTAATCTGGTAACCGGTCTGTGCATAGCTGATTTGAAGAAGGAATGGGGATGGGACGTGAGTGTTGTATATTGGTACGCTGGGAGTGTGATGCAGCCTGATAGGCACGACGGGGATTGGTTGCGGAAGAACCACCACCGTGTCGTCGTCCATTGTGCGCAAACGAGACAGCTGGCGTAGATTGATCCGGATCGATTGAGTAGTTCATAGCTGCATACTCATGAAAGGCGGATTAAGCTCTTTAATAGCATTCTGGTATGAGATATGACGAATCCAATTAGGAAGAAGAGGGAGAGTATGTTCAAAGGAAGGAAACCGCGCGCTTTTATACGGAGTGGCGCTCAATGAAATGGAAGAACATGCAACCTCCACACAACAGACCTCAAACAATAGGAATTGATAAACAGCACCAGCGTCTATGAGGAAATGACTGGACAGATTCTTGAGTCTTGACCGCCGTCTGCACCGCACATCTAGACCCTTTCATCCTAATTGAGCCTTTGAACACACTCTAACAAGAAGTGTCCGCGGAAATACACACAGCATCCTTATTCACCTACCACATGCACTGTTCGCTAGGAGACCGCTTTGACAGGCAAGAACAAATGCACGAGTACACCAAAGCTCGACAAATAGGGCAATCTGTACCAAAGAAGGAAACCTTAAACTTATGAAGTGTGAGTTTCATGCTGAGTCAAGCTTCTAAACTTACATTACATCCATTCAGCCCCCTGCACTTGGTACATATACCCATATCTGAGGCAAAAACGCCAGTCTGCAATGTGTATGGAAGGACGAGTTGCTCAAACTCCGAACAACCATGGATTTTACGTGTTTGCTGCCGGTGACGTGTCGTCCTTGTGGTTAGTCGGCGTACAGCCATCGCCTCCGGCAATACAACCAAGGCGAGTGAAAAATGTCCCCGAGAAGATAGTACGCGTAGACCCGCCATGGCCGAAATTGAAGGAAGCGGGGACGGAAGATGGTAAGGTTCAACTTCAATCCCTCTCGCGGCATCGGCCTGATTTGGAACTACGTCTATTTTGAATTTCGTCGGATTGCACGCCAGTCCTTCAGCAAATAGTACAGGAGCAAGGATAACATCATCACTCCTTACCTAACAGCAGTCTCTTTCCTTCGGATCTATCGCAGTGCATAAGCCTGACTACGACACGTCTTTAAAAAACCTCATTATCTTCCGTCTTGGGTGCTACCCTATTCTAATGAGAAATACCGGCATATATTTCAACTATTGCATCGCCTCCGATGTATCACGTAATTCTGTGCACAGGATGTACCAACTGCGGCTGATATCAAGTCAGGCGTGTCAAGGCCAGATAAGCGGGCGATCTTAGCGTCTTTGACGAGTCACCCCAGCCTCCATTGAAGAACGCAGATGTTGCAAGGTTCTGCACTTACACTCAGCAACCTTGATGGCACTGGAAAGTCGAGAACCATCGTCTATATGCACTCCTAACTTTGTTTTTTCCCGTCCGCGACTTGGAAAGCGCTCGGGGCAAAGGAAGATCTTGGATTGTACAAGTATTTCACCCCCCGACCAGTCGATTCTTATAATGAGTTCATCGACGGATATATCAAAGGGAGAATCCGCAATGGCCCTGGTGCAATTCTGTTCGCCATACTGGATAAAACCAGTAAGTACTTTATTTAACGAAGAATATAATCTTTACTTGATTTTCGCCAGAAGATGGTCCCTCGTCTTACTGGGACCATAGGCCTCTCGAACACAAGTGTAGCGAATCAAACCACTGAGATAGGATTTGTTGTAGTGCTTCCTGAGTTCCAGAGAACACACGTAGCATCCAACGCCATTGGTCTTCTCCACTACTGCCTGAAGTTTTCTGCCGGATATGCCACAAGTGAACTCAAATATGGTCCCAGACTTGGACTACAGCGTGTACAATGGTAAGCACATGCGGATAAATTTCAATCTGTTCGCACTGCGGAGCGAATGGGTTTTACGAAAGAAGCATTGATTCGTTGAGAAAAGGTACTAAGGGAGGGTAAGACTGGGACGTCCGTCTCTCCAGAGCATCAGGCGCTACGGGCAGGTCCAGGACGTGACGCTTTGGTGTTATCACTGTGTTGGGATGATTGGGATCTTGACAGTACTCGAGCGACAGTGCAACAGCAGATGGACAGTCAGTAAGTTACAGTTAAACAGAGCATGAGCAAAAACCAGGCCACCGAGAAGATATCAACACCCGACCCGTACAAGGTGAGCGGTGGTTCATCAGGAAACAAGCTCCGGCTGAATTGATTCTTTCCAGTTCGTTTCGAGAGCGTGACGTATCCCAGGTATCTAGACAACTCTCGAGAGCTGATTGGACGGATACAGACTACATCGATAAAATCAAGCCCACTTGTTCGGGAACACTCGGAAACCTAAGGAGGTGTTTATTGCGTATCATAATGATGCTCACGGCGAAAAGGTAAACTCACAGTGATATCAAACGAGCAGTTCATTCTTTCCAGAAAGGTCCATGAAGTATGGGGCTCTGGACAACACTGCTTGACTATGTAGAACGTTCAGTGGATAGCCATTAAAGCTGAGGACGATTGCGCCCAAACCCCAAACTCGTGCAGAACACGCAGCATGTGCACGGCGGAGTTCCACCAAACTCAAAGGGACCACGTACCTATTTCAGACGGCTAATTTCCGTAATCAATCGTAACAAAATCTCTAGACAAGCTGACGAAAAGGTAATCAGCACAATCCACGAGTCAAGTCCGAGCGTCTCTTCAGGTCTCAAAGAATGAGAAGAAATCACAGAAGCATATCCCATGGGCACACATGTTGTCTTATAGCAAATTGGACCAAGCGAATCTTCCGGAAATCTGAGACGCGGTCAGCAGATTTTATGGTGTAGGGACTGGCACGGTTACCGCCGCAGAAATCCGCAATCCGTACCGCGGATAGAGAGCCATCCGCGGATGAAATTCCCACGGTAACCGCAGAAACCCACCTGAGGGACATACTGTAAGGGGCCTAATTAGAGGGTGTACAAGACCCTTGTAGTCCCTCTAATTAGGTACCTTTTGAGCTTTTCTCCCTAACTATACTTAATACTAGACTTAAATAGTAAAAAAAATTCTAAGTCAAAATAAAATAAAATAAAATAAGTATGCTGAGTGCCCTATATGGCAACTGTGCCCTCCCCACCTGCCACACCTTGAGCTCACTGTCTCATACAGTGAGCACACACTTTCCTCTGTATCTTACTCAATTCTTAACCAAATTTCTTCATTATTCCTTTAAAATTAATGTAAATTTAGTTGGAACTCATTCATAACACAAATACAATGTTAAATGTATCAATTACTTGTGTATTTGTGTACTATTTGATAATAAAAAATACAACAGTTTCCTCTGACTAAGATTTATGATACTCTAAACTCTTAATACTGTAATAATAGTAGAGCTTATATATCTACAGTATATCCTAAGAATTGAGTCTGTGTAATGTATACAA